GGGAGCCGTGAGTGACAGTCACGGTTCTCTGCAGGGACAGGATCGAGAAGTGAGCGAGCGCCGGTATGTGTTCGCTCACTTTCCGATCTACTGAGCCGACCTGTGACAGTTTAATTGTCACACGTCGGCTAGAACTATGAGGATGGGTGAAAATCACTCGCCTCATAGTTCTCCTTTAATATATGACAGAAGATGGTCACAGACTGTGGACATGCAACTGGTGTGGTTGAAGGCTGAAGACACTGCACTGGGGAAATGCTATGTGAGACTGCTAAGAGATCGCTAACATGACAGCTTCCTTTCCAAGGAATGCTGCTACTGACTGCTAGATTCTGTAAAGGGCCACCCAGCAGGTGCCAAGGGGCAGGGGCTGCAGGTTGGATACGAGGGGGCTAAATGCTTCTAGTTTTGCCCTACTATTACCTCTAGACCCAAGCATATCGGTTTTTGGTTTTCTGATAGAGTTCCATGGCCTCAGGTTGATTCAACATCTAGCTGCAGTGGCTAGAATATGCAATAGCCTGAAGATAATGGACATGTCCAGTGTTTATAGAAGCGCAATAGAATAGTATATGTGATACATGAATGTGACTAGAGCAGATGCTAACAAATCAGTCCTTTTCACATCCTATGTCTCAATGTTTTCTGGGTTACTTTTTTATTAAGGAAAAAAATAAAAAGTCTCGTTACCACAACGTCTCAGGGCTTGCTTTCCAGTATGCAGATTCAAAGGATGTCACCAGCACACAAATCTATTTCTGAAATGAGCCTGATGAAGGGGACCTTGCGAGGCCCTGAAAGTACTTGCAATTGAATGGCAATTTGTGTCCTTAAAATGGACATTTGCTGAACACAAATAGAATGGTGTGCTGGTGACATCCTTTGAATCTGCACACTGTTCACGGCACCAACCGTGGTCACTACGAGCACCCACCTGTATTTATTACAGAAATCCGGTAAGGAGTGCAGCAAGATACATCTACTTTTTTTGCATGGTTTCCAGTAAGGTCACCCAGTCTTGTTTCTCAGTAATCTAGTATTCTGTTGCCTGCTCTCAGTCTCTCTGAGTATCTGTAGCCCCCTACATGGGAGTAATTCCACTTCCTGTATGTTGCTGTCATTTTCTCTTCCAGATATTTGAAATGAAAGATTCCTCTGTGCTATCGGCTCACCTTTTCCTACTTTTAGAAGCCCAGTCTGTGTCTGCTAATGCGGTGATTTTCAGCAGTGCATCATTGTAACATTTGAAGAAGTGTGGATAATGGTGATTCAGGCTTGTTTTCCATGCTGCCAGTTTTATACATCCTCCCTCTTCTGCTCTGCAATATTGTGACCCTTTCCTAGAGAGTAACATTTCACCCAGGACTGACAAGGTTGTGGATTAGTTGTTGGAATGGAAACATTGAACGGTTATTACTTTTTATACCACTGTTCAAGATTATGGTAACAAAGTAATCATATGTAGTTTCACATGGTCCCTGTTGTACAACACAAGAGTGTAAAGTTCTGCAGTAATTGTAGCTGACTGAGGAGCACAGGATCACATGTATTACAGAGACTAGGGTTAGCATACATTAAACATGAACTTGGAGGGCCCTTCATGATATCCTTGTCTGCAGCCCAAAATCTACAATGTCCTCTGATCCTGGAGTCCTCCTCTCACAACACGGAAGTAGGGATGTCAATGTCATGTCAGCTACATTTATGCATTGCAGTCCAAGGTACCAAATTGAGTGTACCAATTTATACTGTTAATATGATCTCCTGGAGAATTCTTGTGTGAGAAGAACAGAGCGTTCCTGTAATTGACAGTAGAAATGTTTCTGTCAGGACTGGAAGTGATAGTCCCTCCAATGTGGCACAGACAGAGGAAAACAATACATTTTTAGTAAAGTAAGGAAAGGTTTGACCTTGGTGCCCTGGTGACAACTGTTCCAATTTCTTGTATTGGTATCTGCCAAGGAGGTAAAGGAAAATCTATCCAACCGGGTCATAGACAGAAAGGAAAACCTGACAGATATTTTAACTCTTACATTGTGTCTAAAACTATAAAACAATGCGATGCTATTTCAACAAGTTGATCAAACATTTCTAGTCCTCATCATCACTGAAGTGACAACTGAATGTTTTTAAGACCTTGATATCAATGGTTCTAGACATTTATTAAAATCCAATTAATTTTCTCTCTTGCTGTTAGTGCACTTTCCAGTTCTAGTGTATACGGTGTTGTGTGTTCTATCCTGAGCTGCAGAGCAGACTGTGTTTGACGTGAAGGAATGCCTCGTTTTTTCACACATAGACATGTTCTACATTTTTGTTGCAGTCCCTTCATTAGGACAGGCACACTCCGGCTTCGAGCTGGATCCAGACGGTTTCTCCAGGTGACCGCTACAACCCATCACTGCCGTCCTTCGATGGTTTCCTGAGTCTGTCTGGTTTGACGCAGTGATTCTTTGGGAACAATGGTGAAGTACTTTCTAAGCTGGAATGAGCTGAAGAGCTCATGGGACCAAGTATTTAGTGCTTTTTGGCAGCGCTACCCAAACCCATACAGGTAAGCTGAGCCATGAAACTAACTGTGGGAAGGGATCTCATTGCAGAAAATGTTTTCAGTCAGCTGCAAGTGTAAACGGAAGTTCTAGTCTTCCACACCTTATATTCTTTTAAAAGGGGAACTGTCATTTTTATTGTAAACACTTATATTTACAAAAAATACTAATAAAATCTTTTACATGTATTCTAAAACTCGACAAATCCGGTTTGTAAAGTACGCACTGTGTGGACTGTGCCTGCAGATTAAAATCTTTTTGTTTTTGCATATCTTTTTTCCATCTGGGCCTAAAGCAAACATGTCCTGACTGAAGACATTCTGTACCGTGAGGTAACCAGTGACCAGAAGCTGCTAACCAGAAAGCTTCTAACCAAGACCAACCGCCTGCCGCGATGGGCAGATCGCTTATTCCCAGCCAATGTGGCCCATGCTGTGTACATTTTAGAAGACTCCATAATCGACCTACCCAAGAAAACCTTGACCACCTATACCTGGAACATAAACCACAGCACGGTCATGGTAAGCAAGGGCAGAGTTTATAATTGGTCTGGAGGTCCTCTCCACTATTTGGACTGCTTGGTGTGTTTAGGAAAGCTTTATCTGGGGAAAAAAGACTCTTTTTTTTTTTTAATTCCTTTCCAGTCTGTGGAGGAACGCTGCACATACTGTGAAAATCCAGAGAAAAACTGGACCGAGATTAAAAGAGAAGCTTGGGTGTCATCGAATGTGTTTGGTTTTAGCAGACCTATACAGGTGAGTTGTATATTGTGACTGGGCAATTAGCCTGTACTGCTGTAAAGATATCAAATTCTGTGTTCTAGGAGTTCTCTAGCAGTAGAGAACTTCTAGCACACAGCTAAAGCAAAGTCCTAGTATGCCTGGGCACACAACTAAGCACACCTTCTGATGTCCTGGCCTGATCTCCCAACTTCTTGGAAATCTCTTCAGCAATTCTTTGCTGCTTTATGCATATCTGACACAAAAGGCCAACCAGGCAGGTGACACCTACTAGTACAGCAATTTAGCAGCCTGTGTGATTTATTTTTTTCAGTCTCCCAACAGGTGATTCAGTATGTAGTAAAGCTGATCTAATGTGGCAGACATGTATGAATCACAGGGCACATTAAACGGAATTAAAAATACTTTGGCAGTTAGAACGGTAAACTATTTTAAGTGTGTGTGTACTTTATTATTGACGGGCCTGACAAGTGCAGTTGCCACGCTTGCTGAATGACTTCATGAGTTACAGGACACATTGTAAGAAGAGTGTTAAGCTGGCTATGATCTTAAGATTCACTTCCTCATCCACGCATGAATGGAGACAGTGGAAAAGAGCTGGCACTCACAGGAATCCTCTTAATGGAATTTATTGAAAAAACATAAAAGTGGCTACAAAGGGTGCTTGATTGGGTCCGGTAGAGATTCACGGTGAGCGCCGCGGTTCCCATGGAGTATTGGGTCTGAGAAGGTAGAGCTGCTTTATTCTTGCATTGCATGGATGGAGGAATCTTCCCAACTGGCAAATGTACTCTGGCTGTCAGAATACCCAAACCGCTGATTGATTGCAGTCACTGTTTAGACAATTTTCCACCCGGCTGTTTTGACAAAAGTCGACCAAAAAAAAATCTACTTCTGTGGAGCCAGGTGGGGTCGGTAGCATCACCCATGGATCACATTTCAGCCGATATTCAATCCGTGTATGACCAGCTTAGAGCCCATTTCCATTTAAAAAAAACATATGCCAGTTATGTACACCAAGATTACACGAAGCAGGCATATCCAGTTGATGTATATGAACACATAAACTTACATCTTTTTGTTGGCTTTCCTCTTCATATTCACATGGAAATGTCTGCCTCTGCTGTGTGAACAATGTGAAAATATCCAACAACCCCCCTCATAGTGTAATGGCAGAGCTAGTGTTTACTGGTCATGTTACAATGGGTGACAGGAGGGGGCAGCTGATTACAGTCTGACACCCTGGTGTCAGACTGAATTTCCTGTAGAGATTAGAAGTTTTAGGCTTCAGGCCTAATAAAACCTTCATTAAAAAAAATGAGGAAAGCCTCCAATATGAGTCATGAAAATGTGCACATGTATACATCACCACTGCACCTCTACATTATCACAATAAGTGCTAATCACTTACAAAGGTGGGAATGGATTTTAAGACTTGCAGTGAGGGAGGAGCAGTTATGCTAGGGGTAGGCAACCTTGGCAATCCAGCTGTTGTGGAACTACACATCCCATGAGGCATTGCAAGACTCTACAAGCCACAGGCATGACTCTCAAAGCAGAGGCATGATGAAAGTTGTAGTTTTACCATAGCTGGACTGTTGAGGTTACCTAACCCTGACTTATGCACAACTGCCTTGTGATCACAGAGCTGTGACCGCTAGTAAGCTGGATTGCAGCTGACTGTGTTGCGCAGCTGCGTGCTGGCTTGGTGTGTTACAAACTGATGCCAAGTATCTCTGAGGAAAACACTGTATTCTCAGAGATACTTAGTATCAAAGCTCCTGGAAAAAAAAACCCCTTAGTGCCCCCTAGATTAAAAAAACAAAAGTTTGTAAAAAAAAGGAAAAAAGTTTTAAAATATGTTTAATAAAAATACATACCACAGTCTAAAATTGTTCCACATTAAGATTTTATTTCACTCCTTGTATTTTGTGACCTATAACTCCCAAAATAAACTGAAATCCCAGACATATGATATACCCTATAAATCAGGAGAAATAAAACAATTTATTATGAATTACTTTCTGTTACTACACTAATTATGTACACATTATTAAAATATGTGGAAGTGCAATGCATGAGGAAGATGGAAATTATGGTTAAACACATGGCAAAAATGTTCCCATCCCCAGGAACTAAGTTTCCTGAAGCTGTGTCACTAAGGGGTTAATTGTTGGTTACTCATTAACAGCGCAATACGTGAATATTTTATTCAGATGTATGTTTTAAAGAGAACTTTTATACTTCTTCTGTCAACCAGGAATTTGGTCTGGCTCGGTTCAAAAGCAATGTGACCAAGGCAACGAAGGGCTTTGAATTCATCTTGGCAAAAATGCAAGGTGGGTGGATCCTCGCATTCCCATATAGTCTGAGTTGGTAAACAAAAACAGGAAGAACCACTCTGTGCTCAGTTAGTAATGTCTGAGTCATGAGACGGGAAGCGTGACTAGAGCAAGGTCACATGGAAGATAAAGGCTATAATAACTGGTCTTGTCTGTAAGGAAGACTTTGCATATGATTTCCTGCATGATCGACACTCTGGAACAGTATAATTTTCCTCGTTGGACTACAAGGGAACTAATGACTAGTGGCTTGTTGTCAGACATACCTGCATATAATTACGCTTTGTGCTTGGAGCCTCTTTGAAAGGAAGCAACCATTTCTAAAAGTGTATTGAAGATGATGTATATGTGTTTTCTAACTCCTATACCAAAACATTACACTACACTATGTCCATCTCCCATACAGTGCTCCAACATACACATTTCACCAGTAAAGATGGTACCTGTATTCAATCTATTCTTGAATCAGATGATTATGGCACATATGCCATATACCTGCTGTGTAGTAGCTTTCTCCCTCACATCAATTTTCAGTTTCTTATTACCGTTCCAGAATGGCCATCATTCTTGCAAGCAAAAAATCAGTGATTTAACCTCCCTGGCGGTCTGATTATCTCAGGGTTTTTGGTTCCATTTATTTTACTTTTTTAAATTTCCCACCGGTTCCGCCCCCCTGCAACGCAGGCTCTTGCAAGGGACGGAACCCGGAAGACTGATGCCGGCATCGGCCGAGGACACAGCAGGGCTCGTGGACAAGGTAACTGACGCACAGTGTAATCCTGAGTGTGGCTCGCAGTTACCGCTTTTGGTACTGAAAATTAAACCCGAGCCACACTCAGGATTACCGCCAGGAAGGTTAACTTTAACAGAAATTAAAAGCTTATTTTTGTTAATTCAACACTTGGCTTTGTGCATTTGACAGTGTGGGCAAGTCATATGGTAACTTAATTGTATAGTTTTAGACATCTGGGCACATTTTTATGAAGTAAGGTCAGATCTTACAAAACTAATGTTTACCTTTTTGTAACAGCATCTCCTACACCTTGGCTCTTTGATTAGACAATATTCTGCATGCAAGTTGGAATGCCTCTGCAGTAGATGTTATGGAGGAGTATGAAATCATAGATGCCTTTCAGAATTGCTGGATTTTTATATTCCCTTCTGGTGTGCGCACGCACGCACACTGGCGATGATGTGTAGTTCCTGCATTACTTTGAATTGTGTCCAGTTTGGATAGACTGACCCTTGGTTTAGTAAATACATATGAGAAGCATTTAATTTTGGTGTGCAGTACAAACATGACCCCAATGTACTGTGTTGTTGACAAGGCCTGTTCCTGAACCGACTGTTTTCTTTCAGGCGATACGCCTTCCAGGACACTGGTGGAAACCGCAAAAGATGCAACAGAAAAAGCGAAGGAAACAGCACTTGCTGCAAAGGAGAAAGCCAAAGATTTGGCCAGCAAGGCAGCTACAAGCAAGAAGCAGCAATACGTCTAAGCATCTCCCAGCTTCCATTCTAGATCCCACATCACTGCACACCAGGCCCAATGATGATGGGTTCAAAACGTCATCTAAACCAATTTTCAACTCTTTGTACAAATTAGTTCTATTTATCATGCTGTAAATGAAAAGAAGGAAATATATACTTGAATGTAATGCAAAAATAAGAAATGACACTTTTCTAAGCTTTAATTTATGATTAAAGAATGATCTGAGAAGTGCCTCGTCTTTAATCTGGGTAGACAGCAACATGTGTTCTGTCATGTTAGTCATAATCAAACAATGCAATTGATCACATTTTAAGATTTCAATCTGACTTCTCATATGGTGATATATAATTGCCTGGGAATAAATTCTATTCTGTCAGGTAGCTAAACATCTTCAGAGACTAAAGGTGCCCATACACTGCTCGATTCTCGTACGAGAATTGGGCGAAATCCCGCGATCGTACGAGAATCGAGCAGCGTGAACTAAGACGCGCGACCGTTTCTAATATGGGAACCTTTAGGCTACAGTCACACCTACACTTAAGTGTGATTTGGTTTTCCTGCGTCAGGAACCCCAAATCTTCTGTTTACAAGCAACAGCTGTCACCCATTTAAGTTAATGATCAGGTGACAGCGGCCACATTTGAAAGCATCAGAAAGCTGGCACACCGCATGTAATCTTATGTGATACATTAACGTGGTTAGGAATCAATCACTATTCCTGGATGCACAATTGATGTATCCAGGGATAGCGATTGATTCCTAACTGCATGAATACCGTCATGTGGGCAGTGATGTCTTCCACCCATGTAGTCTGTGAGACCAGCACTTACTCAGGGTAAACTCTTGCAACAAGAAGGTGGTGAGGGAGTGCAAAGAACTGTGGTTAAGGCTGCTTTTCTTTTGAATGGAAATGGTTAGAGCCACTATCGGGTTTTTATTGCCGTGTCCCCTCTTGGGGACATTTCCTTCCCCTCATGGAAGCAAAGAAAGTGATGAGAAATCTCCAATCGGCACACAAACACTTTTTTTTTTAGTACAGCGGAGAAGGTAGAACTTCCCACAAAGTATTTATCGCTGTCCTTGATTTCCTGCATCAGTGACCAGTACACTCGCCTAGGCAGGTGTGATATTATTGTGCCTTCTCTTGAGAAAGCTGAGCATCCCAAATACAATGAGAATGTGCTGGAACAGCTTACCTAGAGATTTAGGATCCACAGCTTTCCCAGGATCCTGTGGTGATGCCCAATGATATCACAGGTGCTATACAGACCTTAAGTATTGAGAGTATGAAAACCAGGGTCTAGGGTAGGGAAACTTGGGTCCTCCAGCTATGGTGAAACTACAAATCCCATGAGGAATTGCAAGACTGACAGATGCATGATGGGATTTGTAGTTTTACCACAGCTGGAGGGCCAGAGTTTGCCTACCCCTGGTTCTAGGGTATTTTTTTACCTTTCTATTCTTTAATGCTTTCGGATAACTTTTTTTTGTCTCGGGAAGGAACAGGGAGTGTCCTCAAACAGATTGCTAAATCTAGCACTGTGTCTCATTTGTGAACTGTAACCATGGAAATCTTCCTCCCCTCATCACAAAGAATGTGTCATATGCTGCCAGGATTACAGTCTAACATATCCAGGAGATCCATTATTTTGACACTACTGAAAGTTATTATTAGCATTTACCTTCATTGTTAGACAAGCACCTGTCTGAGATCCCCGTTCTCTGCAATGGCCATTGCCTTGTTTTGTGCCTACAAAGGAGGATTCATCACCAGATACATTTCCTAGAAAGAGGTTTGGCAAGACACACACACACACACACACACACACACACACACTTGGAGTCTCAGGATATGTACACACACGCACTGCATGGTGGTGTTATATAATGGTTAATAGACGTTCTGCTAGCTTGTGGAAAACACATGAACTGTTCTTATATCACAGTCCTGAATGCCGACCAAAAACGTTTACAGACCTATTTATTGTGGTCGGCCTCCTTAGCTGTTTTGATCTGTAGCTCATGTGCTTCTCATTGAAACTAGTGTATGTGGGTGCAAGCTACTCTGTAAATGAATCCTTCTAAACTGAAAACTGTTGCATGGAAATATTCTTTGGCATTAAAATGCCTTAAAGGAGACCCTGATACCTCGCCCATTCAGGGAAAAGTGACCAGGTCTTTAAACAGACCCACCACTGATCACTTAAACAAACTCAGGAGGTAAACCCTAAAAATGCATTGGAGCACCTTAACCCCTTCGTGACGGGAGACGTACAGTGTACGTCCCGTCACAAAGTGGCTATATGACTGGCCACGTACACTGTACGTGCCGAGTTATATTAGCCTCTGTAATGCTGGTAACTGCTGATTCTCAGCAGTTCCAGTCATTAATTAATGCCTCACTATTGAGACATTCATTAATGAAATAGTTAAGCTTTTTTAAAAGCTTCAAGTAAATATATCCTACTCGGCTGTAAATTGTCAAATCGTCTCTGAATTGGTGCTGACACTGTCCTTCCTGCTGGAGGGTGACTACTTTTCTTCCCCATGGTCCCTGTGTGCTCCAAGCTCACTCCCGTGATGGACTACAATCTCACTTTTAGTTTACTAATTTGTACTGAGATTGTAGTCCATCATGGGAGCGAGCTTGGAGTGGTGGCTACTTTACAACACACACAGGAACCATGGGGGAACAAAAGTAGCCACCCTCCAGAAGGAAGGACAATGTTAGCACCAATTCAGAGATGATTTGAGGCTCTACAGCCCAGTGATACCCAAAATAAGATACATTGGTAATAGTTAAGGTATTTTTAAGCTTCACAGTAACTTGGAAAAGTGAAAAGCACTCTGTGTTAGCCTGTTGTCGCCATTCCTTAGAAACTTCACTTAGGTCAGGCATATCAAACTAT